TACACAAGACTGAATCAAATGATATAGTGAGTTATTACATGACTAGCTCTACAAAAGACTGAATCAAATGGCATAGTGAGTTATTACATGACTAGCTCTATACAAGACTGAATCAAATTCATATTGAGTTATTGCATGACTAGTTCTACACAAGACTGAATCAAATGACATAGTGAGTTATTACATGACTAGCTCCACACAAGACTGAATCAAATGACATAGTGAATTATTACATGACTAGCTCTAGACAAGACTGAATCAAATGACATAGTGAGTTATTACATGACTCACTCTACACAAGACTGAATCAAATGGCATAATGAGTTATGAAATAAGTAGTTCTACACAAGACAGAATCAAATGGCATAATGAGTTATTACATGACTAGCTCTGCACAAGACTGAATCAAATTCATGAGTTATTACATGACTAGTTCTACACAAGACTGAATCAAATGACATAGTGAGTTATAAAATAACTACAATGTAGCTCTACACAAGACTGAATCAAATGACATAGTGACTTATTACATGACTAGCTCTGCACAAGACTGAATCAAATTCATATTGAGTTATTGCATGACTAGTTCTACACAAGACTGAATCAAATGACATAGTGAGTTATTACATGACTAGCTCCACACAAGACTGAATCAAATGACATAGTGAATTATTACATGACTAGCTCTAGACAAGACTGAATCAAATGACATAGTGAGTTATTACATGACTCACTCTACACAAGACTGAATCAAATGACATAGTGAGTTATAAAATAACTAGCTCTACACAAGACTGAATCAAATGACATAGTGAGTTATTACATGACTAGCTCTGCACAAGACTGAATCAAATGGCATAATGAGTTATTACATGACTAGCTCTACACAAGACAGAATCAAATGGCATAGTGAGTTATTACATGACTAGCTCTGCACAAGACTGAATCAAATGGCATAGTGAGTTATTACATGACTAGTTCTACACAAGACAGAATCAAATGGCATAGTGAGTTATTACATGACTAGCTCTACACAAGACTGAATCAAATGGCATAATGAGTTATGAAATAAGTAGTTCTACACAAGACAGAATCAAATGGCATAATGAGTTATTACATGACTAGCTCTGCACAAGACTGAATCAAATTCATGAGTTATTACATGACTAGTTCTACACAAGACTGAATCAAATGACATAGTGAGTTATAAAATAACTAGCTCTACACAAGACTGAATCAAATGACATAGTGACTTATTACATGACTAGCTCTACACAAGACAGAATCAAATGGCATAGTGAGTTATTACATGATTAGCTCTACACAAGACAGAATCAAATGGCATAGTGAGTTATTACATGACTAGACCTACACAAGGCAGAATCAAATGACATAGTGAGTTATGAAATAAGTAGTTCTACACAAGACAGAATCAAATGGCATGAGTTATTACATGACTAGCTCTGCACAAGACTGAATCAAATTCATGAGTTATTACATGACTAGTTCTACACAAGACTGAATCAAATGACATAGTGAGTTATTACATGACTAGCTCCACACAAGACTGAATCAAATTCATAATGAGTTATTACATGACTACCGGTAGTTCTACAAAAGACTGAATCAAATGGCATAGTGAGTTATTACATGACTAGCTCTACACAAGACTGAATCAAATGACATAGTGAGTTATTACATGACTAGTTCTACACAAGACTGAATCAAATGACCGAGTGAGTTATTACATGACTAGCTCTACAAAAGACTGAATCAAATGACATAGCGAGTTATTACTTGACTAGTTCTACACAAGACTGAATCAAATGACATAGTGAGTTATTACATGACTAGTTCTACACAAGACTGAATCAAATGACATAGTGAGTTATTACATGACTAGCTCTACAAAAGACTGAATCAAATGACATAGTGAGTTATTACATGACTAGTTCTACACAAGACTGAATCAAATGGCATAATGAGTTATTACATGACTAGTTCTACACAAGACTGAATCAAATGACATAGTGAGTTATTACATGACTAGCTCTACACAAGACTGAATCAAATGACATAGTGAGTTATTACATGACTAGCTCTACAAAAGACTGAATCAAATGACATAGCGAGTTATTACTTGACTAGCTCTACAAAAGACTGAATCAAATGACATAGCGAGTTATTACTTGACTAGCTCTACACAAGACTGAATCAAATGACATAGTGAGTTATTACATGACTAGTTCTACAGAAGACAGAATCAAATGACATAGTGAGTTATAAAATAACCAGTTCTACACAAGACTGAATCAAATGACATAGTGAGTTATTACATGACTAGCTCTACAAAAGACTGAATCAAATGACATAGCGGGTTATTACTTTTACTAGCTCTACACAAGACTGAATCAAATGACATAGTGAGTTATTACATGACTAGTTCTACAGAAGACTGAATCAAATTCATAATGAATAACTCATGACTAGCTCATTGGCTGAAAGTTTAGAACATGGTAGCTTACATGTACCGGTGCTGAACATTCATATAAAATAGTTGTCAGGCAACAGAACTGAAATTAATTTTGTGTTTTTCTTTATACAATTTATCGATGTGAGTAGGTTATACAGATGATATGTATAACCTGTTGACCACAAAAAGGGGACAAAAAAGTGTCATACTATTTTTAACGATCAAAATAATTTTATTTTTCGTTTTTGAGAATATCTTTATTTGTTGTGTATTTGCATCTTGAATTTTCAAGGTGAATGTCCCGGCAAAGACTCCACTATCACCTTGAAGTATTTCATTAGGACTTATGTGTATGTGACAGTGTCCTCACAGTTTAGAATCAGTTTATTAACAGATTCTTTCATCAACGCGCTTTGCCAAGCTATCAAAACAAATACAGCTGCACACATAGCTGTCGAGGCATCACAGCGACCATATCATAAAACTCGAAGATATTCAGACCAAAGCTATTCAAGCTATACCTAGTTCCGAGTCTGATTTTTAGCTCTGCTGTCGACTTTGTCGAGCGGAGCTTATCATATGAGTGATTGTCCATGTCGTCCGTGTCAATGTTTTACCTTTACAACTTCTTCTTGAAAACTAAAAGCCTGAATGTTTTGATACTTGGTGTATATGTACCTTGGGTAAACCTCTCTCAGGTTTGTTCATTTCATGATCATATCTTCAGTTCTCTAATTTTGGTGAATATTTTTGTCATTTTTGGTAAAAAGTGATATTTTCGACTTCTTGTTAAAAATCCGCACGCCCAATTGCTTTGATATTACATATATAGGTACTACATGTGGACCCCTCTCGAATTTGTTCATTTCATAATGATATCTTTAATTTTCTAATTTTGGTGAATATTTTTGTCATTTTTGGTAAAAAGTTATATTTTCGACTTTTTGTTGAAAATCGCAAGTCCAATTGCTTTTATATTACATATATAGGTACTACATGTAGACCTCTTTCAGATTTGTTAATTTCGTAGTGATATCTTCAATTATCTGATTTTGATGATTATTTTTGTCATTTTTGTTGAAAACGGCAAGTCCCATTGCTTTGATACTTGTACATATTGTTCATTTTCTAATGATAGTTTTCAGTATTTTTCATGTTACGGATGAAAGCATTTTCTCAATTTTTCACAACAGTGGATATGATGTCACAATTTACCCACAAACCTTTGTTAGAGAATCAAGATGGCTAGACTATAAATTACATTCTCCTGCATTTTCCCTTTAAAAAAAATAAATTCTTATTTTCAGCCTCTCCCACAAGAACCTGAAAGACTAGTCAGAGAATCCACCTGTGATTTAGAGCCACCGAAACTTCTCTCTTTTATTGTGACAAATGATCACCATAACACAAAAGCATGTACAAGAATTCCACAATCAATTGCAGTTGGCAAACACAAGACTCAAACCGATGGAAGGTATACATAAAGCTTTACTTGTAGATTAACTAGAATGGATATAATTGAAACAAATTTAAGTCACAAGATGGTTATTACCAAGTTGAGCAGTTTTAGGGGCGACGTCAAAAGATCGATGTCAGATAAAAAACTCATTTGCTTTAGTTTGGGGGTGGGGGGTTTTGACCTCAAAAAGTTTCCATCCTACAAAAACAATTTTATTTTTAGCTCCGCTGTCGACTTTGTCGTCTGGCGTCGTCCGTGTCAATGTTTTACTTTTTCGACTTCTTCTTGAAAACTACAAGCCTGAATGCTTTGATACTTGGTGTATATGTACCTTGGGTAGACCTCTCTTAGGTTTGTTCATTTCATGTTGATATCTTCAATTCTCTAATTTTGGTGAATATTTTTGTCATTTTTGGTAAAAAGTGATATTTTCGACTTCTTGTTAAAAACCAAAAATTCAATTGCTTTGATATTACATATATAGATACTACATGTAAACCTTTCTCAGATTTGTTCATTTTGTGATGATATCTTCAATTCTCTAATTTTGGTGAATATTTTTGTAATTTTTGGTAAAAAGTGGTATTTTCGACTTCTTGTTAAAAACTGTAAGTCCGATTGCTTTGATATTACATATATAGGTACTACATGTGGACCTCTCTCAGATTTATTCATTTTGTGATGATATCTTCAATTCTCTAATTTTGGTGAGTATTTTTGTAATTTTTGGTAAAAAGTGATATTTTCGACTTCTTGTTAAAAAACCAAAAATTCAATTGCTTTGGTATTACATATATAGATACTACATGTAGACCTTTCTCAGATTTGTTCATTTCGTGATGATATCTTTAATTCTCTAATTTTGGTGAATATTTTTGTCATTTTTGGTAGAAAGTGATATTTTCACTTCTTGTTAAAAACTGTAAGTCTGATTGCTTTGATACTATACATATTGTTCATTTGCTAATGATGTCTTCAGTTCTTTAATTGAAATGTGCATTGCTAACAGCGGAGCTATCTCAGCCGATAGGCTGCTTGTTTAATGAAGTCAAACAAATCTTGGAGTATTTGTAGTTTGTTTTTTTCTATCCAACCATGGACAGAAATAACAGAAAAGAAAAAAAAAAAAACATCCAAGACGAGAAAATGGTTTGGTTTGAGTGTAAATATGTGCGTCAAATGAGGTGCATTTGTGAAGTTTTTTTTACACCCACCCGACAACCAACTGCTATGCAATACTACTGTCCGATTATCAATTTGTATTTAATGGTGAATGTAGTCTGATGCTATGACCAATATTTATCAATTAAGTTTCAGTGGGGGGTGGGGGGTTTGGAAAAAAACTAAAGGAATTAAGTTTGTTATCGAACATCGATCTTTTGACGTCGTCCCTTAGTGAACTACAAAATGTTATTATCTTCTTGGGCAAATGGCCATTTAACCAAACCAGGGCATTTAGGTCTCATTTCTAATTTTCATTTTCATTTCCTATTGAGTGTTGGATGCTCAGGGAACCCAGTATCATGCAGTAAGGATTGTCAACATTTATGAAGATGTCAGATCATGCATCATCCTGTGACTATGCTAGTTAGCTATAGTGTAACTTTCATCTGGTCATTTTATCACCATATTACTTCAAAGATAGATTCTGGAGTAAATTCTGGAGGAGAGAACCATGAAGTAGGTTTTCTGCAGTCATTTGTTTGGCTATCTGCTTCTTATTCTTCAAAGCTGACCTGTGGCCATATCTGTAAAAGCAACAGATGTTCTACGACTATTTCACTTTTGTTTGTATGCTTTGCTAATAAGTTCATTAAAACAAAGACATTTTGGCTGTAAGTTTTACATGGTTTCTGCTTAATGAAACCATCAAACAGTTTTCCTCGACAAGTTCCACTTTTACCTAAGACTTTCTAAACAGTATAAAATGATGAGCCATTTGTGCCACAAATTCTTCTCACAGAATCCAAGACTCGTAAATGTTGTGTACTTATAATGTCATGTCTTTCAATAGATACATTTCTCCCATAACTCAACAAGAATATGCACAAATCAATGATTATCTACAAAGAATATTAACATTGCAGCAATGCAATGAAGTTGTGAGTAAAATAAATGCATTGGCATCAAGCAATGGATCAGGTATGTACATCCAGAACTATTAGATGTGCCTATGTTAAAACAATAATTTTTAACTCTTGTTGTGCATCCCACGTGTGTGTTAACCTTTGCGAAAAATTATAATTTCTTGGAAATTGTCAGTCTGATTGCTTTATTAGTCCCCGTTCGGACACAGCCCGAAAACAAGGACTTATGGTTTGTGTTTGCGTGCGTACTTTAGACATGCCTGGACTGATTACATTCAAACTTCACACATACATCATACATAATATTATACATATGCACATAAAGTGGAGGCTATTTTTGTGCTAAAAAAACATAAAAAATATCCATTTCTGGCATTGGGCCATTCCAGTTTATATCTGCACCCCCCCTCCCCCTGTTGATGAGCTTGTGTGTTTACTTCATACAGGGTATAATTTCCATGGGTGTATAAGTCATACAAAGTTGTATTTCCAAATCACCATTCACCATACAGTAATGGAAATTCAAAACTATAGTTCCTACTTATGGTGTTGATGAGTTCCATTGTGCCACCATACAGAGTAGGATTTCCAAATATAACTCTCATCATAAGCTAATTTACCAAGTTCAAAATTTTATATTTGATAATGGAAATCCAAACTAGTCCTGATTCACGGTGTTGATGA